AACCCTGAAGCCCTGAACCCCAAAATCCCAAACCCTGAAGCCCTGAACCCCAAAACCCCAAAACCCTCAAGTCCTGAACCCCAAAACCAAAAACCCCAAACTCCCTAAAGCCTAAAGCCCTGAACCCCAAAAACCCCAAACCCTGAAGCCCTGAACCCACAAAAACCCAAAACCCTGAAGCCCTGAACCCCAAAACCCAAAACCCTAAACCCTAAACCCATTAAACCCTGAAGCCTAAACCCTAAACCCTAAACCCTAAACCCTCTAAACACTGAAGCCCTGAACCCATTAATCAGTCAAGCCCTGAACCCTGATGTCTCCACATGGGCCAGGAGGCAGAAATGCTGCTGTGCCAGATCCGCAGTGAGCTTGTCGCCGTTCCAGAATTCCTCTTAAAGTCCCGTCAAGGTTTAGGGTTTCCAGAATTCCTCTTAAAGCCCCTTTAAGGTTTAGGATTTCCTCAATTCCTCTTAAAGTCCCTTTAAGGTTCAGGGTTTAGAACTTTAAGGTGTGAGATGTACGGTTTAGATTCTTTTGGTAGAAATTCGGGCCAAGTACCAATGTAGTAGGATCTTGTCGTAGGTATGAGGACCAAGTACCGATATAGGACGCTCTTGTCGTAGATGTTCGGGCTAAGTACCAATATACTACCTGGTACATTCTTGTCGCAGATATTTGTACCAAGTACCAATATAGCAAGTCCTGTTCGTAGGGATTCGGGCCAAGTACCAATGTAGCATGATCTGTTAGAAATTCGGGCCAAGTACCATTCTAGTAGGGTGCTCGTTCGTAGAAATTCGGGCCAAGTGCCACTATAGTAGTACAGATGACTACGAAAGTGTAAGAACCCAAGAATAAGTGAAAAGCCTGGGCATTGGAGAATGCATTTGCAAGCGGCAGCAAAAACAGACAAGGCAGTGTTCTTCATAGTTAGAACAGGGTTTTGGGGTATATTATGGTTCAGGAGCCCAGGGAATAATATTGGCACTGAGTCAGGCTTCTATATATTCTACCCTAAACCCTCAACCCTCAACCCTAAACCCCTCTAGATCCTGAAAGATCCCCCTGAAGGAACCCTCGATCCGTTTAATAGAAACCCTTTCAAGGAAAGCTGGGTCCCCCTGAGAGGATCCCGTCAACGAGCCCGACATTCCCCTCGACCTTCGAATCCGGATCCCGGAGCCCCCCTGCTGACTTCGGGGACATGGGTTTAGGGTTTAGGGTTGAGGGTTTAGGGTTTAGGGTTGAGGGTTTAGGGCCTAGGGCTTAGAGTTTAGGGCTCCTAGGGCTGCGGTTCTCTAGAGTTGATGCAGCTGAGGGTCCCCAGACCTTCCCCTAAGGGTTTAGGGTTGTGGGTTTGGGGTTTGGGGTTTAGGGTTTAGGGTTTAGGGTTGAGGGTTGAGGGTTGAGGGTTTGGGGTTGAGGGTTTGGGGTTGAGGACTGAGGGTTGAGCTTCCAAAGTTTCGGTCCTAAACCCTCAACCCTAAACTTGAGGGTTTAGGGTTTAGGACCTAAACCCTAAACTCTAAACCCTAAACTTTAGAATGGCTCAGGGTGTGTGCACTCAAAAAAACAAAACCTGAAAGCCTGAAGCCCAAAGATGCTAGGCAAGCTAGGCTCAAAGAGCTTCAGCCACAAGAGCAAGCCACCCTAAACCCAGACCCTACACCTTGAACCCTTAACCCCAAAAACCTCTCAACCCTCATTGACCCTCACGCCCCAACCCACCTCACTGGAACACGTGCGCAGAAGCGGGTCGGTAATGGCAGCCACGGTGTCCTGAACTCTCGAAGAGAGCAACATCCGTGAGTCGAAGCGTCAGTCTTAAAACTTTAGGGTGGTAGAGTTTCTCGGGTTCGGGGTTCCGGGTTTAGAGGAAAAGAGCTGCCCAGGTGCTTCCCCAGGCAACAAAAAGCCGCAACCCCGGGGCAACTCTGACAAAAGGGTCTTCAGCAGTGGTCTCTTTCTCATGTTTTGTGAGCTGGACCCACGTCCCTGATCCGAAACCCTTTAAACCTGAACCCCTGGTAAAACCGAAACCCTAAACCCTAAATCTCATGACTCAGAAGGTGAACCTGAGTCCGGGGCAGAAAACTTAGCAAGTGAGGGGGGATGTTAGCTCGAAAAACTCGGGGTCGGGGATTTAGGGATTAGGGTTTAGGGTTTAGGGAGGTATGAATACACAAGGGAAAAACAAGTCAAGATGCTTGGTTTTTGAGAGGCCCGGAAATACAAGCCCTGCAAAATCTCAGAAAAGAGAGGGTGCTGGGTTCGCTAGTTAAACTTTAAAAGGGTCGGAAGACTCAATACTAGCTTTCTTTCGGGCTCCTGGAAATAAATTTGGTATAACATGCTTCAAAGCCCTATACTATTTATTAGGGCAACCAGATTTCCGATATTAACGATCCAACTAAATCGTCGGTCCTGTTTAGGGGTGGGATCCTTATGTTCAGGATCTTACTCAACTGACGGTCTCTATCAGGTCGGCTATGTTCTGGAACTCGCACGTGGATAGTTCTCTCCATTGGGGTCCCTTTTGTAGGTCCCCAATGTAATACGGCACCTTATGAACCCCTACGCCCTAAAGCCTGAAACACTAAACCCTAAGACCTAAACCCTAAACCCCCAAAGCCCTAAACCCCCAAACCCTAAGCCCTAAACCCTAAACCCTAAAGCGCCAAAAGGCAATCTAATTTAGAGAGCTACCCCACCTAGAGACAACCATGACTCAGAAGCATGGCGGACCACGGTCACACGCAAAAGGTGTAGGGTTTAATAAACCCTCCTATAAATTATAGGGTTTGGGGGCTTGGGGCTTATAGGGTTTAGGGTTTAGGGTTTGGAATCAGGGCTTATAGGGGTTAGGGTTTAGGGCTTATAGGGTTTAGGGTTTAGGGAGCCCAGATACCTGGAAACCCGCTGAGAAGAGTTCAGCGCTTACGAGCTGCTAACCGTGCGCCCCAATGAACCTTGAAGGTTACGTCCATCACCGCCTAAGCCGGAACCCCTATCACCACATCCCTCACCTAAACCCTCCAGGTACCTACTATATAGGGCCCTAGGGGCTCTAGTACCCTCTATAGTAGGTACCTGGGAGGTTAGGGTCAATCAAGCTAAACCTCAACCACTTCACTCTGCGGCCCCAATGGCTCCTGAATCCCCTCAAGACTTTAGTCATAAATCCTTTAACCTAAACCCTCTAACCGTCTAAACCCTACTTGGAGGCCCAGGGGACCTAGTAAGTAGGTCATAAGTTGAGTTATAAGTACCCTAAATGGAGTTAACCCAAGTATAACCCCACTGAAAACATCTTATAACCGACTTACTAAGTCCCCTGGGCCTCCAAGTAAACCCTTTAAACCCCAAACCCTAAACCCTAAACCCTAAACCCTAAACCCAAACCCTAAACCCTAAACCCATAACCCTAAACCCTAAACCCCAATGAACCCCCAAAGGGCCGGAAATAGTCGCTCGTGATCCGAGTGTCCGCCACCAGCGCCCCCAAGTCGCGCCAGAAATCCTCCCCCTGGTCTTGCATGAGGGTTTACAGTGTAGGGTTATGGGTTTAGGGTAGGGTTTAGGGTGTAGGGTTAAGGGTGTAGCGTGTAGGTTTAGGGTTTAGTGTTTAGGGTGTAGGGTTGCGGAGCTGGGTCGAATATACGTCCAAAGCAGCGGCTTCGTTTTTTTTCAGGACCCTTCAAGTTTTAAGAAGCGGGCTTCACACGGGCTTTAAAAAGGGGTCGCAGAGCATTGGGTCGTGGGACTGATCTTCGGGGTGCAAGTTTGGTAACAGGGTCTTCACATCTTTTGATGTGGCGTTATAGGGACTTTCCCGAGAGCATTGGCACGGATGTTCCCTGGAGGAGGTGTCTATGCGATGGATTGAGGTTTGATTCATTAGATGGTATAGATGTGAGGCTCTGTCTCTTAATCAAACCTGATCATTTTTAGCTATAGCATGGTGCACGGCCGACGGGAGTCGCCACGCCCCGAACATGGCGCTGCGCGCGTGCTGCCATGACAATTCGAGTCGGACTTGGCAGCATTCTCCGGAAACGGGCGAGTTGGGCATGCCTGGCTGTGCATGGGGTTCTGTGACGACTCTTGTTCGGAATTAGCAACCTCTCGGTGATGTCGGCATGTCCACGTCGTCCGCTTGGTGCGGCTCAGGCCTAACAGCCCTCTCGTCCTGATACTGGCGTGTCTGCATCCTCCGGAGAGCACTAATCATTGTGAACTGTAAATCTCATGCTTACGCCTGTGGCAACATGTTCATTTAAGATTTTTGAACCCCACAAGTCAATGGGGGGAAGCATCCAGGTCACGTCCCTAAAGTCCGTCAGAACATGATGGGAGAAGCATTTGGCCGTGTCCTGCCAGTACGTGAAGGGAACTATTTATGTTGTTGGTCGGGGGACCCGGCGTAACACATGTGGTGCTGCGGCGAATCGTGCTCGGAATGGACAACCCGGCGTGAAAGATGGATGGACGGACCGATGGATGGGTGGATGGATGGATGGATGGATGGATGGATGGATGGACGGAAGGACCGATGGATGGATGGATGGATGGATGGCTGGCTGGCCGTCTTGATGGATGATGGAAGGATCGATGGATAAATGGATGGCTGGATGGAGGGATAGGTGGAGGGACGGAGGGATGATGGGATGGTAGGTTGGCGGGGTGGTGGCATGGAGGGACGCAAGGATGGAGGGATGGATGATTCTCAGGAACCAGGGACGGAGCGAGGAATGAATGGATGAGATGATCTTAGGTGTCGCGGCGCTGACTATATCACTGCTCCAATGCTTTCGGGACACGTGTTCTCTAGTTGCGGGGTGGCGCCTAGCTTGCGGTTCGGCGCATTGGTGCTTTTGTGGCGAGGAGGAATGCCATGACGATGCTGACGCATAGCGCTGACTGCGCGGCGTCTAACATGGGTGGTTTTGTGGGGGGGGGGGGCGACACCCGAATCTAAATGCCGACGCTAGAAACATCGTCACGCGGACACGTTCAGGGTTTTAGATGGCTTTGGCCATCAGGTTGAGTTTTAGCCCAAACATGCCATGTAGACTGCAAGCCGCGAGATTCTCAAGCCACAGGCCCCCGAAGCGCAAGCCTTAAACACTGAACTGCTTAGAAAAAACCCTGATCCCGAAGTCAGAGCTACGCATCGGACCTTCATCACAGGTTTCCGGACTCCCTAAACTCTATCTAACATCGCGAAATCCTTCTAAAACCACCTGTGGAGACCCTACGAGCCATGTCGAAATTTTATACTTCTGCCTAGCTTAACCTGCCAAAACCTACTGTTTTGTAGTAGGTTTTGTAGGGTCCCTATAGATTCCATATCAGGGTGTATAAGACTGAGCCTCCAAAACAAGTAGGAGTTTCCGAAAACAAGGGGTACCTTATTTTGGGGTCCTTATAGTAGGGATCCTACTATTTAGGGTACTATACTAGGGTCCCCTATCTTCGGAAACCCCCATTTCGAAAAACCCTACAGTAAACCCTAAACCCTAAACCCTAAACCCTAAATCCCTACACCCTAAACCCTAAATCCCTAAACCCTAAACCCTAAATCCCTAAACCCTAAAGTAGGTTCTGGTAGGTGAAGGTCCAAGGCCGAAGCACCTTCACCAATCCCTGAGCCCTACATCCTGAACCCCAGGATGTTCTCGACTTTCTGTCCGACTTCCTTCGGGTTTAGGGTTTAGGGCTTAGGGTTTAAGGCTTCGGGATTAGGGTTTAGGGTTTAGGGTTTAGGGTTTAGGGCTTAGGGATTAGGGTGTAGGGTTTAGGGTTTACCTTCCCGGCCTTGAGGTTCAGACGTTCCAGCACAGCACGGAGACTCCGCTTGCATCCTTGGAAGTTAAGCTTTTGGGGCATTTACAGTTGGAACATCACTGTCCCCATGCCCTTAAGGTAACATATAGGGAATCCCAGCACTACTCATCCTAAACCCATGTTCCAACTTTATTTGATTTTCAGAGGCTTAGCGATTGAATGGCCTGTTCACGGCGGGTTCTAAGATTTGGGGCTAGGGTTTCTGGAGGGTCTTTTTACGGTGAATGCAAGGCTCTTAAGCAGTTTTTGATGCGGAGTTCAATTTGAAGAACCCAAGATTTTTGCATTCATGTAAAATGTAGGGGCCTAAGTAATTACCCATACTGTTTTGCGGGGTTCCTTATTATAGTTATAGTATAGTATACCCCAAAACCCTATTCTAACTGTTAACGCCCCTAAACCCTAAACCCTTGTAGCAGCCCTTATAGAACCCCCTTAAGGAACCCTTTAAGGGAACCCTAAAAAGCCCTATTCTAATTATTCAGGCCCCTATTTTAACCTCCTTAGTCAGAAACCAGTTTCGAGCTTGGGGCCTAGGCTGCTGCTAAACCCTAAACCCTAAACCCTAAACCCTAAACCCTAAACCCTAAACAGGAGTCCGATGTTGATCAAAGCTCCAGGGCTCTCTTTGAAAGCCTGTGCAAAGGCTTAGGGCTTTAGGGTTTTAGGGCTTTCGGGCTTTAGGGCTTTAGGGCTTTAGGGGTTAGGGTTCAGGGTTCATCCACCTGTGGAAAGTATCGACAGGGGTTCTTTTCGGATTTCGGGTTTCGGCTTGGGGCTTCGGATCCCAACAGGCAACGCCCCTGCTTTCTGTGAACAAGGGTTGGAGGTCAAACTGCATTGCCTTAAACTCTAAACCCTAAACCCTAAACCCTTAGCCCTAAACCCTGAACCCTGTCAAACTCTGGTGCTTAGGGTTTATGTGAATTGGACGTATCGCTGACGATGTAGGATGGTGGAGGACCGAGGATTTCGGCAAATGACACTAATATAGGGGGCCTTAACAATTAGAATAGGGCTTTCGGGTCCTTTATACCATGATTATAATCAGGAACCCCAAAATAGTACCGGTAATTATTTGGGCCCCTAGAATAAATGCGAAACTGGGGAACGATAATGCTTCAGCACCGTTACAGATTACAGACTACTGGTAGCAGCTACAAGTATTGCCCCCGTGACGATGCCAAGCAAATAACAACGAGAACAAGGTAACGCCACGCGAAACGACCCGCGCTATAGCAAGGGTGCTTTTTAAGGCAAAATGGTAGTTTTACCGATGTAAAACGATAAATTCTGAATTATTAGTTCTTGTTTTGGGAGATATCCTTGCGCAACCTCGAAAGTTTTCGGGTCTTGCTTTCGTTATTGTTTTATGTTTGGAACTAGTGTTTTTGGTGGTTTTGCCACAGCGAAATCATGGTTTTTGCGTGTGATGGCTTGATTGTCCGGCAGCAAGTCTTTAGAGTTTTCCGGATAAAATGGCCATTTTGGATTTCGGTCGGGGTTTGGGTTTGTGGGGCTTCGGTGTTGCCATGCCGTTGTAGTCTTTAAAAGGGGTTAGTGCAAAATAGCAGTTTTACTCAGGTAAAACCAATGATTTCTGCTTTATCAGTTTTTGTGGGAGGCATCCTTGCTCAATCTCTACTGCTTCCGGGGTTTCTCTTTCGTCATTTTTTAATCTTTGGAATTAGTGATTTTTCTTGTTTTTTGCTGAGCGAAAACAAAGTCGTGGGATGTCGGGCTTAAGCTTTGAAGTTGAAGGTTGTGGGGCTTGCAGTGCTTTGCCAGGGCCTGGGATGAAGCTTCTAGCTCGAGGGTTTTGGGCTTGAACGCATGGGATTTTTGTTTGGAGTTTGAGGGTTTGGGCCGGCAGGGACACTTGGCAGCTGTATTTTCGTTGCCTCTAGCTCCCGGATGGTCTCACCGCACACCCTCCCTCTAGAGAGCAGAAGCAACACAAAAGCAAACTAACTAGAGAGTTTATGGCAGCAGCAGTGGCAAGTGCTACAGCGGCAGCATAGCAAGGGTGGCAGTACAACTTATGCTTGTAAGACCATGCAGTAGGAGCGCAGGAGCAGTGGCAGCTGCAGCTGCAGCAGCAGCAGCAGCATAGCAAGGGTGGTTAGTGCAGCAGAACTTACAGTACAAGTAGTAGCACTGCTACTCGTAAGACTG